GTTATTTGGGTATGGGTGAAGGGGGAAGAGGGGATAACGAATACGAAGATACCGGAAACTGCATTGACAAACGCAAAGCTTTCCGTGTTATGCTGTAAATTCGAAACCAAAAGATGCTTAGGTTTGCCGAAGCGGTTGTCATTAGCCTGACCTAGGCCTTGTGATGCAGTTGTTATTACCAAGGTAATTCCTCACTCTTTCATTTTCATCATCTCCGCCGTTCCCCTACATCATCGTTGACACTTCGCCCTTCTGCGTTCGTTATTAGGTAACTCATTTTGAACTACCTAATTGATCAAATTTTTACTTCGGTTACTTTCTACGTCTGTTCGAATTCATTTCTGGTTGTATCTTTTTCGTATCACGTAACCATGTTTAACTCTCTTTCCTACACGATTAATTCTTTTTCATTACGTAACTGTTTCTCTGCAAACTCCCCTTTTTCTGAATCTTTGTAATTATTTTACTCTCATCCTATTTCACCCGTACCAAATGACTTCGTTAATGACTCAACAACCCAGTTCTTTCTACCTGAACCCATGTAATTGTGTAAATGTCCATATATGGTATTCTTCTTATAACATTCAACCTATTCGATGTGCGCAGACAGTTGACTGACAGCACACGAAATTGATGGCCAATATCAATTTTGCTCATGTTGTGTTACTTGTTTTATTCAATTTTATTGGTATATTTATGAACCGACCAAAACAAGCTTATTTGTCACTTTGTTTGTATCATGATCATTGTTCTGAGCACTCTATTGAAGTGGAGAGCGCATGCGCGTTCCTTTTTTCGATGATTTGCGATTATTAGAGAGCAATACGTTATGGTAGGGAGAATGCAGAAGTAGAAAGAAATCTAAAATCTTTATGCAACTGGAATGCTCCAGAGCACTTGGAGTATTCATGAGTAACGAGTTCGGCTTGGTGACAGCTTGCTCGTAATTATGGAACATTAAAGCCATGACGATTTCAAAGGTATGCAATGACACTCCATTCATAGATTGGTTTTAACTTTACTCTGTCGATTGAGTGAGGAAGTAGAGCTATATTTTTTGCGTAGTTTCAGTCAACTCTGTTACTCCGGGTACTTAGTTTGTGAAACCGAATTGTCAGAAATTTGTTTCACACCATAAATAGTCTTCCTAATGCCTCATCATCCAATCATACCCTTGGTTTACAACCACCACAACAGGATGTTTTTCTTACGGAGAATTGCGTTGAACAAACGCTCCTTGTCTCGCTATCACGGAAACGGTAAACATCTGACGAATTCGTGATAGATTGTACGAACAGCAATGTGTATCGTGCGTACATTTGACCATAACGGTGGGGGGGTCATTCACTTCGATCATTACGCATATATGAAAAACGTAACCAGTGCGAAATACAACGCTCCGGTTATTCAACGGCAACTAATGAAACAATAGTATCTTAATCACAACTAGGTCAAGGTAGTGCGTAATGCTTTTTTCTCCTCGCAGAGCGACACCAAACCTAGAAACCTAGATAGGAAAACCGGAACGCCGTACAATCTGTTTGCCCTTAGCGTATCTAGGCCTTGCAGACTGACGTAGTTATCATTCGTATAGATTAGCATACTCCTTCCAGGGTGTACGGGTCTATCTCGCACAAAATGGCCGTTCATTTGGATGACAAATTAAAGAAGAACCGGGAGAATAGGTCTACTTTGAACAAAATAAGCCAACATCAATTTGGTTGAAATAGCGTACCGCATAGATTAATGGAATTTGGACCGAACGGGTAAGTTGGAAAAAAAGCGCAAGCACTACCGACAAATACGGCCTTTTACGTTAAACCAACTAGTTTTCCGGTGTGACTCACTCACTCAAGAAGCCGTGCAACAATCGGGAATAACCATGGACAGTTACAACGATGGTTTGTTATGGGCAGATCGATAGGGAACATCCAACTAGAATGACACGAATTAGTAGTTCGCACTGGACCTAGCATGGAACAGGACGGCATTCAAGCAATGGAGAATCCAGAACAGTGGGATTCGTCAAGGCTAAACAATCCGGGTGTTACTGGACATGACGGTCGTTTTGAGCAGAAATCCGATTGGAAATAATTATTTCAATGTCACAATGGTATAAAATAATTGAAAGGAACACAAAGATGTGGCATGTTGACTGAGGTAGTTGGAGTGATGAACACCTCTTTTGAAGTCCAAACGCAATACTGCATCTTTGCCATTCCCAAATTCCATGACAAGTATCACCTGATCCAGTTTTAAATAATCATAAATGATCGAAAAACGTACAACCATACTTTCCACATACACCTGCACGTAAAACTGAATGCTCTCAAATATTTGCATTTTGAACAACACCTGTGATTACAACCGCCTATTTTCCCGCACTAGTTTCGAGTAGTTCGCTGTGACTGTTTGAAACGTGACCCATGTCAACTGTTCCATTTGGAATACGATGTTACCACTACCACACAGCGGCGGTGTTCCGAAGGGAACAAGGATCAAAGAGCGAAGTAACCAGAGTTCACAAACGTAAAGTAGCACTGCGGTGCAGTGAATACACCTTTTGAGAGCTTGGTAGGTATCACGATGACGGCACAGATGCTTCATGTTGGTAAAGATGATTCAAGATTTCGCTATCCGGAGCGTGATTTCACATTTAACGCTACGGTCATCTGAGGCAACTCCCAAGGAAGACAAACTGATGAATAACATCTAGCTGTTCGCCACTGAGGGAAAGAGCAAGCACAAATTCCTATAGGTCTTGAACCAGTAACCACTTAGTAGGAGAAAAGTACATCCCATGGCAACTTGCTTCAACTGGCACCCAGCTCAGACGTTTCTGTATTACGCATTTCATTAGACAGGCTTCGTCGGTGTAATATGTCTGAAGAGGCAGGTAGTAGGTGGCAAAAGTAGAGGGTAATCAAACTAAGATCTGGCATGAGAGCATGAAACGTTAACCAGGAAACTCGGTTATATAGGTCGGGTTCGGATTCCAGGATAGGGACCTCGGGCCCAGTGTAATCGATGATTATAAAGGGTGAGTAGCACTCATGCACCGACCCAATTTTTTCGTAACAGTGTCTATCTGAATTTGATATCTTCCCATTAATACTGTTTCCAGCATTTTATTTCTTCCATCTATTCGTTCATCTGAATGGGTAGCCAAAAGACACCAACCCAAACCGCCACAGTATTTTATAGTTAATAGTGGAATAAACCGAAAACTGAAATTAAAATCTATCTGAACTACCCGTCCGTTAGCACCGCTAGAAACTTCTAACGGCGAAGATAGCTGACTGTAGGCTGTTACAGGATTTTTTCCGCTAAACTAAAAGCATAAATTCATGTATACTAGTCAACATCATTATCACTGCCGGATTGGTCAGCCTTAACAAAGCGATTTATATGCCGCACAATGTTGCTATGACACTAAGAATGGTATTTGTTCTGACTTGCTTTTTGGAATACAGCCATCCAAATCGTAACCCGAAAACCAAAGATTAAGAGTTCCACTAAGATTTCACAGCACAACCAGTCCCCTATTCACTTATGTTAAACTTTTAGGGTGTCGTGAGAAAAAAAGATTCACAGTATTGCATCAGCGAAGAAAAATCTAACCACTTGTGTGGATTAAAACGCGAATTAGGTTTTTAGAACGATGAAAGATCAAGGTATCAAGTTATTACTTCCCAATGCGCGAAATATGTGCGCATCCGAATACCAACAATCATATTGACCAGAAACAGGGTACCAGCGCAGCAGCGACTGCTCAGCCCCAAAATGAATATAACAAAAATCATGCACACATTCACGTTTTGCGGTGTGATGGAAGAGATGATCTTGTTGCGCTACTTGTTGAACGCAGCAAGCAATATTCGTATTTATTCAGAATTCAACTCTGACCAGTGAGAAATGATTCGATAGAATTCCTTTTCAACAATGAAGCATGGAATGCATTAGCCAGGAACTACAAGGAACGAACGACCCGAGGGTTAGAACTAGCAGCACCTTGGATAATTGCGCCAGTCGATTTGTGTGCCGCTAATGGCACACGAAATGTGAGAAGAAACATGCCAGGCTGAGTTGAGCGAACCTGTACGATATGACACTACAGTCAATTCTCAATAAAATGTATCGACACCAAGGGTAGGGGTTTATGCCTATAGCCGGCTCTTACCACCATTTGTTGTCCCCAATGGAATATCAAAAGGCTTCCGTATATCCCTCATTCCTGTTCAACTTTGCCACAGAGGATGTTCTACCGAATAATTCATCCAGTTATGCAAACGGTGCAGTCGAACTCCTCTCAGGGAACAGAGTCCTTAACTTCGAATATGACCACGGTATCACCTAGCTGGGTGATATTACGAAAACCACTTAACGACCGAGTATTCCAGGTATGGTTTGCGCTTTGCATCATCCAAGTGCAAGAGCCTGTGCCAGCACTCGCCCTCTGAGGTGATCAGCTGGAAGTGGTTGAGAGCATCAAGTACCTCGAGAGCTTCATCCCAGCTGGTAGTGACACTGCGGAGGAGATCACTTCACCAACAGCAAAAGCTAGAACAGCTGTTGCCAACCTACGACACCTGTGGCGCCGCTATGATATCCGTCTCTACCTTGAGGGATGGTGTACATCAACGCGATTCGTAGTGTTCTGCTTTACGGTTCCGAGACCTGGCCACTCCGCGTTGAGGATGCTAATGGACATTCTGTATTCGACCATCGATGAAACCGAAACACTACTTGTACCTGGTGGGAATGTTTTGTGACCGAAGATGAAATTTGTTGCCATATGTTGGGTACTGACAGTCGTTCTCTAAAAAACCTATCGCTCCAAAACGACTCCGATGGTTCGATTACATTTGTTGCATGTCTGCCTATCACCTACCTCTCCGTGCTATTTTTTCTCGTGCTGGGCAAAGTTGGATAAACGTTAAGGTGGTCTGGATTTAACTTAGTTTAGAGGTATGAAGAGGCTAGCCTCAGCACAGGCTTCGATTGGTAATATATATATATATATATATATATATATATAACCGCAAGGCAGCGGGTGAACACTTATCATAAATGATACTCGTGCTGATAAGCTTTTAACTGGTAATTTATCCATTGGAACCAATAAAGCCGCTATCGAATGAAATTGAGGACTAGCATAAAATTGAATGAACACAATTTTGGTAAACTCACGTGAAAAAATATCTCAATATGACAATTTACCGTCATCTGTTCATTCCATACATATCCCTTTTCTACGTGGATTCACGACCAAAGCCTTCGTTTACAAAATGATATCATCAATACATGTGCTCTATAGTATGAAAGTGATGATATTATTGGATTCATACTGCATCAATCCAACCACCCTTGCCGTTCCGTGCTGACAGTATCTCAAAATGATCACCTCAGGGGACATCCACTCAAGTTGAAGACCCAGAACGGTCAGCTTGATTGCCGGCATCACTCGTTTGTAGTTAGTGTGCGGTGTATAGAATTATTTTCCATCCCATGTAATTTGTGCTGTTACGGTTGAACTATTTAAATCGCAACTTGATAAAGCATTAGAACACTTAGTATTTCGACATCCGTGAGTGATCATGCATATTATTTTCATTTTCTGTTTGCAAAGTAATCTAAAAGATTCTGTAAAAATCCTACGAGGCATGATAAGCTTTAGTTTTGTTAAATCATTCGTTATAAAACTTTGACTTTGATTTGCGGAGTTTTTTTAGGGCAAACTTTCTCAGGTTAGGATGAGATAAAAAAACAAATGTGACAACGTACTTACCCGCGCAGGCAAAACCGGATCCGGCACAACCGACAATTTGCCAAATTGGCCAGTAGTGCCGCAGGATGTTGGAAATGGAGTCGGTGAACTGGGTTTTCTGGCCAATGGGCTGACCGGAGGCATGGGCACGGTTGGACGAGTCGTATCCACAGAAGTGCTTCGAGATAGCATGAAACCTCGGGCACTTTGTTGCACAGCAGATGAAGGACCGGAGTTTGGACAGTTTTCACCAGGAGCAGGGGGATGAACTGACGTGGTCTGACCGAACGAATCTGTGGGTGTGGAGAAATTTCTTTCCGGGGTAACCACTATCGCATCGCTCGAGGAAGACGGAACTGTACAGTGGGATCAAATCAGAATATACAAGATTGAGCTATTTCTTTATAGTTTCACGTCATGTTGGTTCTATCTACGATAAGAAGACAGAACAATAAACATAAATGCCGTTCACAAGTATCTCCTTCTTCTCTCTGCAAATCAATTCACAGAATAAATTTCAAAGGAGAATTCGTCGTGTATACACCAAATGAAGTGTGAACTGAAAAGCTACGAAGCACTGGGCAGCTATTTAGACCTGGTTGGGTCTCATCAGCAGTGCGAGTCCATCGACCCAACTGGGGATCGAACCCGGAACCTCACAGGCAGAACGCAAGCATGTTACCCGCTCGGCCACCGGGCAGATCGCCAGGCCGTTTTTCATTTTCAACTTACACGATGTAGCACAACCCATCTCTGCGAGCTTGTTTCAGGTCACGGACCTCGCTCATCTCAGCACTAGTCCCCGGCGTTATGACTCGGTTGGAAACATTAACAGAATAAAGCATGATGGTTCTTCGGCTTCTTTTAACAGGCATTTATACACAGAGAGCGAGCAATGAAAAATCGTGCTGTAAAATATTGGGCGTTACGATTTTAGTACAACCAGCCTCCATATATGAAGATGTGGACCGTTTTTGTTGATGTTGTTGTTGTTGAAGCCAACTATACGGGCGTGCCACGGATAGAACAAATCATTTGGTTAAACTATTCCTGACCGTTTGCGCTACAATGGATTTGAAAAACACAGGGTTGTAGGTTCGAATCGGGATCGGAAACAGCCACCCATTACCACTTGGAAGTTCACATTTGTATAACATCGGCACATAAACGGGAAGATAGATTTGGATTACACATTCTACCGAACCAACTCGGGACGGCAAATATTATTCGTTTTCATCTAAGACCTACAAATGATTGTTCTTGATTGACACCAAACCCCCACGACCGCCTTAAACGAAATACTACTCAGAACCCGCGGAATGGTCAAACTCCATCAGCTGGGCAATCAGAGAATGGTGAAGTGAAATGAAGCATAGTATAATGAATCATTCAACCCGGTCAGTAGGGTGGCAGGGTTAAGCAGGCAATATTGAACGTCCGTCACAAAAACGGGTACAGACACAGACACACCAAGACCCACATCTTTTTTTATCTCAGTTATAACTCATGTTTTTAAGGTAGAACCAAACACAAAGCGTGATAAATTCACAGCTATAAAATTTTGCACCCACAGGCGCACACAACATTCGATGAGCTAACATTACATCACTTTCAGGTCAACCGTAAACGAAAGCCAATCGGGTACAAGTTCAACAGTAGCGGGTTAACGACTAACAAACTGAATGATCTCAAATAGAAACCCGGATCCGTGAGTGCTTGGTTGCTCCTGTTCAGCACATATGAGCCCGCATCAGCAATAATGGGCGCAAAGAACGAAAGACCACGATTTTGTTGGTCTGCTCGATTGGGTGGGATAAAAGATCGATATCAATGTGGTTATTATTGTTATATATCCACAAGACAGTGCCGGGACGAGTAGAGTTATTATTATTATTATTATTACGAACAACGATAAGTGTACTGGTGAATTGGTGTACATACAACAAAACGTCTCATTTGGAACAAGTCATTATAATTCCAACAAGCGCGCAGCATAATTAATGAAACTGTCCCATGGTAGATGTACATGTTCTGTAGTTACAATTTCGAAAACAGTAAGTTGCTTTACGAGGTCTCGTTCGTTTTCGGTATTGTGGAAAACCGTCAATAATATCCTTTTGTGCATTCGAGCCACACTATTTACAAGTAAGTTGCATCCCAAAACACCATCAACAGTAATGTGAATATATTTAAAGTGAGCACGGACGTGTAACAAACAAACAGACACCACCTTCACATTAGAAACGTTTGAAAACAATAGCTGATGCTGCCGGACGAAGTCGATCGGATTCCAGGTTTTATTCTTCCCCAACTATTACATTCATTGGGGGCGCCCCTAAATTTAGAGATGGTGCTCAGGAACCGATAGAAACGTATTTGTGGTGATGAAGCATTGTAATCAATTGTCAGATGGATCAGGACTTCGCGTATTTAACGCACGCAGTCACTCTTAAACTTCCTCACTTCTTTTCTCTTTTTCATTCAAATAAATACACAATGACTCAAATTTCAGGAAGGGGGAAAAGGCCAATCAAAGGGATGCCATACAATACACAAATAGGGAAAGTCAGGCGGTAGGATTTGAACACGTCCTCGGGGGTGATGATTTTGTGATGTTACCACCGAGACACTACCGCTTGTGTGTGTTATCCAAGCAACCTTTGACTGATTATTCATGCCTTCTTGAACATAGATTGTACCGTTTTTTATTCAAAGTATGGCACAAAACGAGCATGATTATCTACTCTAAATCAAAACAATCGTTTGCCACTGATTATATTCTCCTTGAATCGAATATTAGCTGCAATATTCGGAGTTAGACGTCGAGTGACTGAAGAATTGGCTCAAGTTGTTATCGATTTGAAGTTCATCTGTTGAGGAATAAACAAAAATTTGAAGTGTTTTGTTTCATCGAAAAGCAAGCGCATTGGTTGGACGTCAAATGGGTTGCGCGATTGCACATGACTAACCTGTAGTCCCAAATCGGACCATCAGTGGATGTATATACAGCTATTGATACCTAGCAGGGTTGACGCAACCGTACAATGCTTCCCAATGACAGTGTGCAACAAGTAAAAATGAAACGATTTTGATGAGTTATCCACAATTGGACTGGCATTAGGACCAGACAATCTCGTGTGGTGGTACAATGGCCCGATCAGCTACGCGATCCAGCCAGTCAGCCCAAGGGCCCTTTAAAGCCGGTCTCAAAACGTTACCTCCAACTTTTAACTATGTTAACTTGTCTTGGGAAAGAATCCAACTGACAGGGGAAATTCAGTCTGATCGAAAAACAAACCCACTGGACGGCGTCTAGAGGCTCTTTGAAGGCGAAACAATTTTCCTAATTCAGTGGAAAGATTCGATCTGTTCAAATTCGACAGGTACCGATGAATAATTTTTTCATGGTCCAAGTTTAAATTCGCATTGGGTACATAAGACTGAAGGTGACCAGTGAGGATCGGATCGATAGACAAAGCCGTAGTGAACATTAAGAAAAAATTCAGAATGTATCATGTGATGAGGTTGAGGAAGCTACCATGAGAATGCTTCAGTTGCATTTTATGCCCGATTTGTGACTTACTACCTTATCGATCAAAGGTTTTCGTTAATCTACCAAAATTGTTGTCGGATCACCCCAAGTGCCACTTGTCAACAAGACCTGAAAGACATTTGAAATGGATAATAATAACAATAACAATAAATATTGGAGATACTATAGAAGGTGATCTATATATGGAACGCGCTTCACTGGAAAAATGTGCACTTTGCTTGTTGTCTTCAATGATGATGGTGGCAGATCCGTAATCAATGACAGTAGATGAAACCGAAACACAAAAAGTGGGGAGAGAATCAACCTCCGTCGGTGACCTTTTTAAAGCAATCAAATTGGTGGGCTCAGATCCATAAAACCCGAGGACACAGTGATATATAGTCTATGCAGATTTGTAAGACCCGTTTTGTGAAGCGTGTTAAGCCATGATTAATCTGCTTGTCTCGATATTTGGTCTTCATAGATGACTGAACAATCAGAATACTTTACTCTACTTATCGCATCTGATCAGTTTGTCGAGTACAAGATATTTCGCTTTTATCAAGTTTCGTTGAGAGTGAATCTTTTTAGTTTTTAGTGTGGTTAGTATATTAAATTATTGACATTTTTTACTAAAGAGTTTCTCAAACTTTTTCTAACTTTTATTTTGAACTGTATTATTCGGAAATACGATCATATGAGCATCGTTTCATTAGCCGATTTTTTCAATGTTCAATTATTCCAGTGTTATTTTGCAAGTAGTTAAGCGGTTTATATTGTTAATCAGAATGAAGGAAACCATTGTCTTGACTGTGGGGCGGATGATCGGAATGAGAGTTCAGACGTTCCCCCTGTGTAGGTGTGTGTATTCATCCTTGCTCGGGTAATTTGACCTGAAACAAATCGATCCATTTGAGAATCCGGAGATTGGTCTGCCTTTCGGCTACCTGATTGATCGTAAACTCTATCTTGTGTTACAGCAAATGCTAGTTTGTGTTCCCGATCTACGAAAACAATCGCTTCAATTACGAGTTTTGTCAACAATAATAAATTTTCGGTGCGAAGACGAGGAATCACAATTGCTCTTGTTATAATTCCTTTATGAAGTCAATCAAATTCATTTATTCTCATATCGGAACAGTTCACTCAATAGTAAAAGCTAATACCAGGTCTGATGACGCACGGTCCTCAAATGTTTTCAAGGACAGAGGCAAGTATGTACTACTGGATTTGAAGATACCCGTCCAACCAGTTTGAGGGAATACACAAGCGCCTATGAGTTGGTATAACTCACCTGTTGTGCCGATGTACAAGGAAAGAGAGATTAAGCTCGTATAGAAGCTGCACCAATCCAGGTGTAAATGCTATTGTCATGGGGGGGGGGTGCACAGCAGTAAGTCAGGTTGAGAATTTAACATGAGCGGACATGAGGGAAAGTTGTTCCTTTTAGGGAGCATCCTATTATACGAGAAACGAATTTCCAATGCGGTTGCCTCACGCACTCTGAATGCCTGTTTGGTGGTTATCACATGATAGCTTATTGTTCAATTCCAATGAGGTCTGAGTATACGCTGTACACACTGTTGGTATTCGAACATCGAGTGAAGTCAAACGTGGATTGTTGGATAACCATGCTCCGACATTGGATGATATACTCAGTCAACGGACACTTATTTGCTGGGAGCATAGACTGTCCTCAGTTCTGAAAACACCTCTTCGACAACAATAGACAGGAGTGAATCATATTAACGATTCCATCATGGTATATCTATATGATTACCGGAGGGATGAACCATTACCAATAGCACAGAAATGTCGATGCGGTCAAAAAGTCACAAATTGGCGATACCCTCGTGGACAACCAATTTTATGTTCTCGAAGTATAATCAGAATCTCTCCCCAACCAACTGATCATTCAGATCGACGAAGCAGAGTCTGTGTGCCAATAACCAATCACTATGGAGACCTACCTGGATTCATGCGCGAATCTTCACGTGTTATCTGACTAGTCGGTCTGGATTGTGTCTGACCGGGACGACACGGAGCTCCGACGGCAACTGTTTGGTCTCGACGATCAAACCGACGAATAATATCTGAGACGGGCGGTACTGTTTGATCGATGGTGCTCTCCTCCTCCTCCTCCTCCTCCAAATTAGTCTGTCTTAGTGAGACAGGCGAGACGCGGTCTGATGAAGGAGACTGCATAGAAACAAAACCAACGGTGAATCAAGGAACAATTAGGAAAATAAGTAATTGAAAAAACGGACAGGTATACACACTTGGAACTGATTACTGCTGAATTTTGTTCACATAAAATCTACAACAAATAGTCTACAACCACACTTGTATGCTTGGCACTTTAACAGAGGATAGATCATCAAAACACGATATTATAGTAAGACTTCTGTTACCATGTGCGTGGGGATGGCAACCGTTGAGAGATTCATTTTGCAAATACCGGTGAGATCAGATAACTCGTTAGATGACAACAAACGCATTTGATACACGGAAATTTCCTGATTTAAATTAGTAAGGGTAGCTCGGAAAAAAGATACCGTATCGCATTCGCATGTGCTCATTCGATAAATTGATATCAAACATGACTAACTTTATACCACGATAAGCTTATGGGTCCCCAGAAGTGGGCAAATGAAGAAGTGTGCCTCGTGCATCAAGGACAAACTGTCAGCGAAAATAGAGTGTGAATGGATGCAACCAAAAAAGCGGTAAGTATAACGATGATGACCTGACTTGTTCTCTATAGGTTTAAAATCTATCAAGGGAATACAATAACTCAAGGTGGCAATTTCCGCGAATAAACTGAAGTTTCATTTTAGTAACATTGATTGTTGCATGTGAAGACGGAACAAGTGAACCCCGATTCGGTACAGTTGATCACAGGAGCCGCCTTTCTTTTAACCCAATATCAAACTCATTGTACTAGGAATGGAAACATATGGAATCGAAACCACTGCTGCGAGGGGTCTGGAGCAGCAGGTGGGAGAGGAGAAACGGTCGTTCGAATAGCAATTAGGATCAACAAGAAAACCAGGGCCCCGGTAAATTGGCAAGTTACTCCGGAATTGAGAGCTTCACAAGAAGTTTTCTCTTTAGTAAAATAAGAATGCAGGCCAACAAACACCTATGTTTACACACGCGCCGTCATCAATTGTCTGTTGTCTTTTTGAAGTAAGAGTTTCGATCAGGTAGCGAAAAAGATGGTGGCAAAGTGGCTCAAGTCGCTCACATAGGCGCACTCCGAACTGAGATCTGAGCTATGAAACCCGCTACAATTACTCCAAGTTAATGACAGACTGCTCCACGATCCTGCGATTGGGGCCTGACGTGCTTCACCATTCAAAGTCCCATAGATAAGTTTCCCAGTTACCATAAACCATTTGTGGGTCCTTGTGATTATGGGGGTTATCCCTTCTAGTGTTCCCCAAACAAAGAGTGCGCACTGAAAAATTGGATCAGCCTGTCACATTGCATCAGTGAGCCATTGTGAGTTGAAATGACAATAGCGGCGAGCGAAAGTATAGTTTGACAGACAGCAATGAGTAACTTGAAGTATCAGACAAGTGACATTGATAGCGATCTATTACTGTTCTATCCTCACAAGGGAGCTGGAGAGAGAGCGGAAACTGGTCATGTATTTTGTTTCAGTACAAGATTAGTGTGTATTCACAGTCAAACACACGAACACAAAATGCGAACAGACAAAATTCACTCCCGTACCGCTGAAAGGGGTGGTCGTGATAGCAAATAAGTGTGGTTGGTCATTTTATGACTTCAGCCAGCAGTCACATTAAATCACTTTCAACATCCAATTGCTTCTCGCTCGCTGCTGCACTAAGACTAAGTGTAGGAACTGGACGAACGTCTACTAACCATAACCGGGGGATGAAAGGCACAAAGACCAAAATATGGATGAGTTTGGACAATGACAGATAACCAATGACTGACAAGTACACTTTCCAATAAGGAGTTCGAAACATGTCAAGATTGGTTAGATCCGATTCAGTGCACAACTGTCCATGTCTCCAAATAGGTGAGTCCCGACATGACAGTCCAATCGATAAGATATCGATGAATGGACCACCATTCAGAAGAGAGACGCATAACTGTCCAGATCACGGAAGATTTTTTCATTTTATCATGATGAGGGATCGTGAAATTATTGTGGCATGGGTACAAAAAGACCGATGAAACCTTTTCATCTATGCCACATAGTTATTTGCGTGGAACGAAACCATCAAATACACACTGGTTCAAAACAAACCATGTTTGGGTATAATTTAAGACGATGGTTTCTTAGACAACACTAATTCGTAAACTGGCAAATATAGTATATAATTTTGACAATAACGAAGCTGCTTCTTATTTATTCAGGGTAAAGAACATAATGAGGGAGTTAAATCAGTGTAATATTGCTCCGNGCTGAGTGAGCGATTCATTCGCTGATTGAAGAAAATAACCGCAAGAAGGTTAGAACAAAGCACATCGAAGCTGTATATATATATATATATATATATAAAGAGAACGTGGGGAATTAGGATACAAAGCAGAGTAAAAGGCGGTCAAACACTTGAGGCGAATAAGGACAATAACTTTTTACTGCTTCACAGTAAACTTGCTATTTTCTTTTGGTTTAGTTTGTCTGTTTTTTTTCTTGGGGGGGGGAGGCACCGGATTGCGACAGACCGTACAGTATTCGCGCCACTGACTTCTCCTCTGGGCCATATCTCTTAGCAACTCTTACCAATGACATGTCTCATCCCCTGAGCCCAAACCTGGAAGGCGGGCTGCAACAAACAAAGACAAAGCTTAAGCTACTTATACCTTATAGCTCTACACCATGTCGTGGTCTTACCGCCACAGTGTTTCACACCAACACGTGCAAATAGAGCACAGAAAGACAATCGATGGGCAGGCATACGCAAGCCATCGGAGGCGGTGTAGAGCGATTACTTCTGTTAGAGAACGATTATCAACACTCAACACACTACGACGAACCTCGTCATTCCTCAGCCGATGTTCCCACTAGACACGAGCAATGCTTCAGATCGAATACAGAATGTACATTAGCATCCTCAACGCGGAGGGGCCAGGTCTCGCTACGACTCGCGGCGATGTACACCAGTCGGATGTCATGGCTGCGCCACAGGTGTCAGAGGTTGGCGAAAGTTTCTCTGGCTTCCGCTGCTCGTGATGTGATCTTGTCCTCCAACTGTGATTAAGCTCCAGAGGTACTCAAAGTTCTCGACTATTTCTATCTGATCACCACAGTGGGTGAGTACAGGTTTCAGTTTCAGTTTGAACAACCATTAACCATGCACTTTCGTGCGCCGGTTTGGGTTGCCCATTTGGATGAAGAATAGGAGAAGAAAGGAAACTTGAAAGTGGAGTCGAAAAGAAAATGGAGAAGTTCAGTGGTCTAAGGTTGCGAAGAGATTGAGAAGATGCACGAACGCCACTGATTGCGACACCNTATGTGACCCAGTTTCCTGGTTAGGGTTTTCCTACCCTCGTGCCAGGTCTCAGCTTGACCACCCTTGGCTTTTTTCCACTCGATGTCTGCTTCGGCGAACATCGCTCGCCGAGCAACCTATCTGGTGACATGCGTAGCACATGTCCTAGCCAACGTAATCTATGGAGGTCGACCACTTGCTCCAGTGAGCGACCGCATTTACCCAAAACTCTGTAATTTATTTTGCGAAGGAGTGCATGCTTTGAGAGCACTCCTGTGAAATTGAGTAAATTTCTTGGGTGGTGGTGGTATGTATGTATGTATGTATGTACTGTACAAACCTGTGGCTCGATTTTACCTAACTCGCGCGGAGCAAGTTGAAACTGTGTCGAGAAACAAGTGGAATTCTTGATCATGGGATTTCATTAAC